TGAGCCCAGCTGTGAACTGCTAGATGGAGCTGGGAGCTACTCTGAGTGCTGTGCTCATCCAACCCCTACTCCAGAAAGGTTTCTGGCCAATCAATCTCTCATGTGGGACAACTGAGCTCTCAGCACTCCTTACCAGATAGCACTGTCCCCATCTGCTGCTGTGCTCCACTGCTGCATGTCTCTATGGAGGCCTTTGTGGTTGCCTCTGCTTGCTGTGTGTCTGCAGGTCTGAATCACTCCTCTCATCAGTGTACCCCCTCTCAGGGAAAAGGTGCCACTGGGCACCTCCTCCTTCCTTGAAGTTTCTCTCTTTACTCTTTCCATGGCTTCAATTCACACCTCAGTTCCTTCCTGGGCCCAGGGGGACTCACTTCCCTCCTTTTTGTCTTCTCCCTGTTGCAATATTCCAGTACCTGGATGATAAGACTTAGAGAGGCTCTTTTTCTGCTGCTTACCACTCCACTATCTTCTCAGTTTCTCTAAATATTATTATTTTATGTCCTTTTTCTCTTGCTTCTAAAAATTGTATGAGTCTATTGGTCTTCTTGACAGTGTTTATTAAACTACAAAGATTTGTTTGCTCTTTTTCATTCTTTTATTTCCTCTGCATAATTTCTTTTGTGTTTAAATCATCATTCTTTATTCTGCTTGATTGAATCAGCTGATAAAACTTTCTATTATATTTTTCATTTCAGTCACTGTATTCTTTAGTTCTAGAGTATTTATTTGACTCTTTTTATAAGTTTTTTTAATGAGCTGTTCTTATTTTCTGTGCATTTCAAGAAGCAATCAGCTTTTAAATATTTTTTAGACTGGTTTAGGTAGAAAAATACATCCTCTGTGATGGACACAGGGACACCATCTCGGTGAGACTGGCTTCAGATTGGGATGAATGTTTGGGGCTGAAGTCTAAACCAATTACACATTGTAAAACCTGATAAATATCACAAACATTATGTGATCCAGAAACAGTTATGATATGACAGGGTCCCTCTAAGGTCCAAACCTTGGTTCTCAGAGTGGTATTTTTGGAAGGAATTGTAGGACTCCAGTCCCTCTTTCTCTCTCCCTCTCCCAATCCTCTTAGAAAGAGCATCTCAAATTCCTCAAAGACCCCCCCCCCAACCCAAGGCCTTACTTCTTAAAGTTTCTACCAGCTTCAAATATCTCCAGGCTGGAGACCAAGCATCAAACACATAGGCCTTTGAAGGACACACAAGATCCCAACCCTAACAGATCCATTTACATCTCCTGTATGTCATAATGCTGGTTAGCTTCCATATTGTATGGTGGGAGTATTCATGGACACATTCTCAAAATGCAGTGACTATTGATTGTTTAGCTATGCTCGAAAGAAAGTACAGTCTGCCTCTTCTAGGCCCCTGAATTAAAATTAAGCATATTTTAACATATCTTAGCTAAAATATCTTATTTTAAAAAAATAAAAAAACCCACGTGATTATATGTGACTGTAACAGCTGTTCCTAGAACCTTGGAAAGGGTCAGGTAAGTGAGTGCCCCTGAAGCACAAGGCTCATGAGCTTCGTGGCCAGTTTATCCCTGTATTTAGGAGTTATCAGGTGTGAACCGTGTAGTGACTGAACAGGAGAGAGAGCTAATGGGCCTATCCCCTGCAGAGGGAAGAGTATTCAGTGCCAGTAAGGTCACTCGGTTTACCATCCTGCAGCTTGGCAAAAGTCTTCTAAATTTTTGGCTCAATCTATGTTTTTTAAACCTTATGGGAAACAAGTTTCCAGCTTCTCAAACAGCTAAACACTGAATTACTATATGATCCAGAAATTACAATCCTGAACATATACCAAAGGAACAGAGAGCAGTGGCTTGAATAGACGCATGCAAGCCAATGCTCAGAGCAGCATTATTCACAATAGTCAAAAGAAGAAAACAGCCCATCCCTGAGAAATAAAAGGAACCTATTATCGACCATGTGTCTATCAACAGATGAATGGGTAAACATACGTGGTATAATCACGTGAAGGACTATTACTCAGCCATAAAAGGGATAAAGTTCTGATACATGGTACAACATGGGTAAACACGGAGAAGAAATTATGCTGAATAAGAGAAACCAAACACAAGAAAACAAATACTTTATGGTTCCACCTACATGCACTATTTATAATAGGAAACTCACAGAGGTAGAAAGCAGATTAGAGAGGGAGAAGAAATGAGGGATTATTGTTTAGTGTATCAAGTTTCTGTTTGGGGTGATGGAAAGGTTTTGAAAATAGATAGTGACCATGTTTGCAAAACATCAGGAATGTAAATAACATAATTGAGCTGTATGCTTAGAAATTGTTAAAACTGTAAATATCTGTTATGGATATTTTACCACAAGAAAATAACATCAAAATAAGAGCAAGACAAGCTTGAGCATTTGAAATGAATTTTTCTCAAAATAAAGTTATTCATGTATAAAAATATCTTCCTGGTTTTTTTATGTGAAAATATTTTAAAATGATCTCTAGAATAAGAATTGGAAAGGGTTCACTTCATACTAAATACATTATATGTAATATATATTATGTATTAAACCTATTATATATATTAATTATTGATCCAGTGCAAAGTGATGTCAACTTGGTAGCCATTCAGCAATCCTCCCTCTACTTGTCAATAATCCACTATGGATGGATTAAACAGCAGTGTGCATGAAGTGTGGAGGGGCAGTGTGGTTTACCACTGTTGTCTTCTAAGAAAGAAAAACAGAATTAGTGGTGATTGGCCTGAATTCATTTCTCTCTGCGACCAAGATCCCCATGGGCTGTTCGAATGTCTCCTTGTCTGTCTGGTTAGATCCTGACGGCCAGCTGGAGGGGAGGCAGGCTCACCTAAACTTCATATGCAACTCCAGCAAGCACACAGAAGTTTCATGCAGAGGGTAAGAGCATTGGTGAAGGAGGGTCAGTGAGTGGACAGGAAATAAACGTGCTGCTCCCACACTTTAATCCACTTTTCCAAATGTATCTGCCATCTCTGATTTCCTTTCCATGTTCCAGTTACCTTCTCAATTTCCTTATCGAGGATTTATTCAAAGCCTGAATTAGGTAGCATAAGTAATGATTAAAACAAACTCCAGAGTGGTTTGCACAATAAAACTTTCATTTTTTATTCATGCAAAATCCAGTGTGACAGCTCCTCTGAGGCAGCTGGTTTTCTGTGAGGCTACTCAGGAGTCCGAGCTTCTTCCATCTTGCAGCTTTACTATTTCCTAGGGTTTCTGAGGTTTTCTTGCTGGATTTTGTGGATATAATGATTAGGGAAGTGAGATTGTGACAAGGCATGGGGTTGCTTTAGGCAGGATGTGATACATATCTCTTGTGCCTGCATTCCATGAGCCAGAACATGGCCAATGGTCCCAACTAGCTGCAAGGGATTCTGGGATTCACAAGTGGTTTGGGTGAGGACACAACTGTGTTGTTTGCTTGTTTGTTTGCTATGGGGACTTTCAAACCACATAATTGAACGCCTTTTGCCATTTGCTGTTCCATTCTTACTCCAGCATCACAAGACAGGAGCAGACTTGCCTTCCTGGGGGAGGAAGTGGAAACACAGAAACCTGAATGCAGGACTCGAGCCTGGATGGGACGCCTGGCCTATACACTTGCTGCTGGAGGCGTGGGGTGCCTTCCCTCACGACCTGCTGCGAGCACTGGGGCAGCGGAGGACAGCCTCTTCCCAGGGGGAGACCCGTGTGGAGCATCTGGAGTCCATATGCTGCTGGTTTCCACGAGGGCTCTGAGTGTAATGGCAGGTATTGGGCTTAATCCCTAGAATTCTGCAGGGTCTGCGTTTTGTCTCTAAGATCCTGTCTTCCCCTTTGCGTTCTCAGAGGGCTGGCTTCAGTGGACAGAATCTTCCTTGACAGCTGATGGGGAATTCTCAGTGGAGGACCGTTGACTTTGGAACACTTTCTGCTGTCACTCCCACAAAGCCCAAGTTTCCTGACCTATGGGCGTATGACAGACCCATCTGCTTTTTGCAGTTAGTCATTTGAGGGCCTTAATTCTAAAAAGGCTGTGTAAATTTAAGCTGAGGTGGTGCACAGAGGAAGTGATATTTATTTGGCCCCTCATCTCACTTCCTGCCCTCTTCCTTTGACTGTCCCAGGCCCAAGCAACGCTTTTGCCAGGATGTCCAAGACACACCCAGCAAGAAGTGCCTCCTGCCCTCTCTCTTGAAAGATCTCTACCCATTCCTGTCTTGGCATTTTATTTCCCATGAAAATGATCCCGGAGAGGAAGCCTACCTCTACCATGTGGTCACTTAATCATTACATGAAGAGCAATATATAAAGTTGGTTAGATTCATAAGTGGTCCATCAGGAATGGGTTGTTATGGGAAATTAAAGTGTATGGTGTGCAATGTTAACTCTCTGAGGTTGAGATCAAGAATGACCACACTTCTAAACTTCCTTCCTCAAGTGTGCCTCAGGCGCAGAGGGTCCTGACTGGGGTGGGTCGTGTGCTGACCCTAGAAAAGGCCCTTGGTGCTTGTTCATCTACCCACTATTAAAGATGCCTTACAGATATCTGAGCAGATGTGAATCACACTAACAGTATATGAAAGCAGCAAGGCTGAAAATGCACTTACTTCAAGATTAGGGAACACAGCTGTCAAGTGATGGTGAGAGAGATAAGATCTGTGTTTTAGTTTTCTGTCTCACTTTTTCTGAACATTTTTTCATTCATGTTTGGTTTGTCTGTATCACAAGGGAGGAGGAAGGGAGGTGCTTTGGGAGGATTCTTTCAGATGCAAGAACTAGCGTATGTGACCGAAAGTGGGATTTACCTCCTCACCTAGCCAGACATCGTAGGGGTGGGATTGTACCAAGATTCGTTAGTTCTGTGGCACCTTATACTTTGTAGTCGTCAGGAATTCCCCTCATAGCTACATGGTGGCTGCTGAAACCCTAGATATCATAGGTTCACACAAATGGGGCCAAAGGCTGCAATGCCTTCCCTCTTTGTGTTGGAAAAAAGACCTTTATTAGAGCCTCCAGCAGACTCCCCCTTGCACCTCCTGGGCCTCACGAAGGTCACTTCTCATCCTTGATAAAATCGCTGGCAAAGAGGAATAAAATTATCATGACTAGTTTGAACTAGTGGCTCTCAAATTTGAGCGTAAATCAGAATCTCAGGGCAGGGGGCTATTAAAATACAGATGCTGTACTCCAGAGAAGATTAGGGATGGGCCTGATGATGTGCATTTGTGATAAGTTGCCAAGCAGTTCTGCTGGGAGTCACATGTTGAGAAGTACTGGTTTAGATCAATTTAAATTCATTTTCTAGGGCTGGGCAAATGTCACCTTCCTGAACACAGAGACAAGATCTGGGAAACAGGAGATAAAAACATTAGAACAAATTCGTTAGGCACCCAGCTTCATCCATGATAGGTTTTCATATACTTCCCTCCCATTTTTTGAGGACATACCCAGACTCTTTTGGTCTTCTTTTAAGAGTGTTACAGATTATGTGATTTTAGTGAAATATTTTCATTAATTTGATTCCTACAGCAAGTCTTTTTCCTTTAAGACTAACCTAAATCCATCAGTATGTACTCCTTAGATGATACAGAGCTTACATCATTTCAGTGTCTATTACCTTTTGACCTTCTCTGTAAAATATTAGCAGTCTTCGTGTTTGTGCAGGCAGCAGCTTTATTAGGCCCATCCTAAGTTCCTCACTCTCTGCCTCAGCTCTTCCCAGCCTCGGTGCTTCTGTGTCATCAGCAAACTCTCCTGCACTGCCAGGCACTTCACCCTCCAGGCCATTAACAGGTACGCTGAGCTAAATAACCAGAACTGCTAACTTGAACATGAGGCGTTAGCAGCCTCTGAAACAGTTATGCCAAGGCTGGCAGCAGCCTGAGACCAGAGGGTCGGCTTCTTAGATGAAAAATTAAAACTCTGTAATCCTTACTCAATTCTATCATTTCCTGTGCAGAACTTGTGGGGAGAGTCTGATTTATCACTTTTGTTGTGTGATTATACAGACTGTGGTTTGTTTTTGTTTTGTCTTGGGTTTGGGGTTTCTGTGCTTTTCAGTTTTATTTTGTAGAGTTGCGCGTGTCTTTGCCCAACTCAGCCACAAAATTTTCCGTTTAGATCTCTGGTACATTTTTAGTTCATTTTTATAGGTAATATAAAGATTGAACCAAAGTTAATTCTTTCGTATGTGGATATTGTATTAATTAGTTTTGCACTGTTGTGACCAATATCTGAGATAATGTCTTAGTTGTTTACCCACTGGTAGGGCAAAATACCTGAGACCCTCGAATTAAAAGAGGAAGGGTTTATTTTTAGCTCACGGTTTGTAGAGGTTACAGTCCATAATTGGCTGGCTGTAAGGCAGGGCAGCATGGCAGAGAGGCATGGCGGGAAAACAGTCACGGTGTGGTAGGCAGGCAGAGGTGGGGGGTATTCCTTCCTTTCCCTTTGTATTCCATCTAGGCCACAAGCCTATTGGTTGGGGCCACTCACACCCAGGGTAGGGCTTTCTATCTTCAGTAAATCCATTTACCTACACCCAGCACTATGCTAATCCTATCAGTGAACCAGTTATCACACCCTTAGTCCAGTAGCACACACCCATGATCAGCCGCCTCCCAAAAGCCCACCTATGAGGACGTGTGGCTTTGGGAGGACATCTAGCTACAAACCGTACAAGACAAGCAATCTAAAAAGAAGAAAAACTGTTTTCGTTTAGTCTCAGAGGTTTCAGTTCTCTATCATTCTGGGTCGTGTTAGGTAGCAGAACTTCATGTGGGGAGTTGTGTGGGAGCAAAGCTGCTCATCTCATTGGGTGGAGAAATAAAGATAGAGAAGGGGGAAGGCCTGGGGCCCCCAACTTACCCTCTAAGGGCACGCCATGCCCTTACTTCTTCCCACTCAGTCCCACCTCCTCAAGTGTTCACCATCTGCCAGGAGAGTCAGGCTAGCAACCAAACTGTTAACATGAGACTTTGCAGGCTATTTAAGATCCAAGTCATAATAAATATCCAATTGTTCCATCTCCATTAATTACAAACATTCTACTTTCTTCTCTGAATTATCTTTACACTTGCACCAAAAATCAGTTGAGCATATCTGTGTAGGTCTATTTCTGAGCTCTGTTTTTTCCTATTGATCTTGTTGTCTATATCGACGTCAGTATTATACTGATTTTAATTACTCTCTTCTTAATTACTCTGTTTGGTCCATTAATGTGCTTATTTATCTTGATACAGTGTCATAGTCTCTTAATTACTGTAGCTTTATAAATATTAAAGTAAGACAATGTAAAATATTTGTTCCTATTTTTCAAGTTGTTTTTTTAAGCACTTTACATTTCTATATGAATTTTAGAATCAACTTGTCAATTTCCACCAAAAAATTTCCTCAACATGAGGATTTTGATTGAGAATGCATTGTTTCTGCAGATGCATCTGGGAAAAATTTGATAGTTATACTGAGTCATCTGAAACATTGGCTGGTAAATCACTCCATTTCTTTAGGTATTTCGTATTGCCAGGTTGATCTCCAAGGCTTTCATATTTTTACGCTATTATAAATAGAACTTTAAAAATTTTCATTAGCCAATTATTCATTGGTAGTATATAAAAATAACTGATTTTTGCACATTTGTTTTATATACTAAAATCTTTTCAAAGCCGCTTAATAGTGTGGCTTTTTTTTTTTTTTTTTGGTAGATTTAGTAATATCTTTTACATAGCTGGTACCTTAGTTACTTTTCTTGGTGACAAAATATTTGACACCCCCAAGTTAAAGGAGGAAAGTCTTATTGTAGCTCAGTTTGCAGAGTTTCAATCCATAGACGGCTGGATCCAAGGCAGGGTGGCACGGCAGAGGGGAGTGACAGAGGAGAAACAGTCCAGGGCAGGGCAGGGCAGGCAGGAAGCAGCCAGCCGGAGCCTCTCTTTCTCTTTTATTCCATTCAGGCTAAAAACCTATTGGTTGTGCCTCCTACACTCTGGGTGAGGCTTCCCACTATGCATACTCAGAACTATGCTAAACCAATCCGTGGGCTAATTTAGTTGTTACATATCCTTAATCCATATTCACACATCATAGATCCAGCCACCTTAAAAAAGTCCCATCTATGAGCACATGAGGCTTTAGATACAAACCGTAACAGATGGTATCACCAATAATAAAGATGATTTCACTAATTTTTAAATATGAATGACTTTTTTCTCTTTATTTACCCATTCAGAACCTCCAGCACAATATTTAATAGTGTTGAGGATGAATATTCTAGTCTTGTTCCTACTCTTCTGGGAAAAGTCTTCATTCCTTTACCACGAGGGTATGCAATTAGTTATGTTTTTCATGGATAACCTTTTAAAATAGAGGGAATTCTTTTGTTTCCTAGTTTTCTGACTCTAGGAATTCCATTTACAAGTAGATTAATTGGGCCACTTGGATTTTTCTTATGCTTTATTTTGTTTAGTTTCCATTGCTATGTTTCTGGGTTCACTAATACTTTCCTCTATAATGCCTAATGTGCTTTAATTCTACCCAGTGTAATTTTCATCTCAGATGTTATATTTCTCATAGAATTTCAATGTGGTTCTTGTATTTTTCCTGTCTATACTTTCCTCCTGTTTCTTTAACACATGGAACACGGATATAGTAGCTGTTGTCTACTAATTCTATTATCTATGTTATTTCCGAGTAGGTTTCAGTTACTTGTTTTCTCCTCTGATTGTGGATCATAGTTTTCTGTTTCTTTGCATGCTTAATGTCTTAGACTGTTTAGTGTTACTATAAAAAGTGCCTGAGACTGGGAACTTTATAAGGAAAAGAGGTTTATTTCAGTTCATATTTTTGGAATCTGAAAAGTTCAAGCTTGGGTGGCCGCATCTAGCAAGGAGCTCATAGCACAGCATGTGCTATCATATGGCGGGAGTGCACACAACAGTAGTGAGCAATGTGTGCATAGAAGGCCAGACACGTGGGGTGGCTTTTGTCTGCTTTCCTGGTAACTAATCCCGTCCCCTGTTCCCTAAATCACTTTGCAGGCAGGCTTCTCCCTACTCTGTCTTTCACTTCCTGCCCAGGGTTGAACAGTTCCACTCACCATGTGCTCCCTACCGTGATATACCACCACAGGTCCACAGCAATGGGACAAACCAGAGACTGAGACTGTGAGCCAAAACCACCCTTTTCTCTTTGTAAGGAGATTATCTCAGCCATTTGTTACAGTGACGGAAAGCTGACTAACACAATGACCTTCATTTTCAGTTGTTCCAAACAGGGAGGCAAATCTGGTTCTTATGACCCCACCTTGGCACTACCACACTTTCAGAACCTTTGCCTTGGATCAAAATTTACCAGGCTTAGGTGCATTTCTTTTAGGACTCCCCCTGCCCCATTAACAATTATTCTACAAAATCAGCCAGAGTTTGCAATTGAGGCATCAATGTTGAAGTTAAACAGGGGAAAGTTTGATATTGTTTCATTTTCATGGTTTGATCTAGAAGTTATCTACCCTCCCTGGGCTGAACCTCAGTTTCCTCATTTATTGGAGGGAAATAATGGTGTTGTGATATTTAACTTTTATGTATCACCATGGTTGAACTGTAGTGCTCAGTTGTTTAGTCCAACACTAGTTCAGACATTGCTGTGAAAACATTTTATAAATATAATTAAGATTTACCATTGATTGACTTAGGGACATGATATTTGATAATGTGGGTCGGATTCATTCCATCAGTCAAGAATTTAACAAAAACAGGTTTTCCAGAGAAGAAGGAATTCCGTCTCAGAACTGCAACACAGGGATCCTACCTGATTTCTATCTCACCAACTTGCGTCATGGATTTTGATCTAAGATGACAACTTGAGCTCGGCCTGCCAGCCAGCCTTCTGGATTTGCTACCTGCCAGCTCCACAATCACGTGATGCGAATTTCAGAAATACCTCACAGACAGTTTTTGGCGAGACTTAAAATTGATAGTGCTTTATAAAACAGTGATGTTTACTAGGTCTTCAAGCATCATTATTCTCCTATAAGTAATTTTTAAAATGTGTTGGCAGTAAGTCCAGTGAAAAGCCCAGAAGCTCCCAAAGAAAGGACCAAGATCACTCTATTCAGCCTTCTTCCCCTGTGTCTAAGAAAGCTTGATGCACGGTAAGGGCTCCGTAAATAGTTTTTGAATAAACTAATGAGAGTAAATAAGGACCTTCAGGCTCTCATTAACTCCCAATTAACAACTGAAGATCTTCACACAATCCTTCTGGGGACAATATCTTAAACCAGGCGTGGACAAGTTAAATGGGAAGCAGCATGTTCTATGTGCAGAGCAGGACAATTCTAATTATCAGTTCT